TTGTAGCCGCGACCTTGTCCTTTCGGTCACGACCCAGAGTTCGTGACAATAGGTGAGGGTAGTAACGTAGACCGAGTGGTAAATTGAGAGCTTTGCCTTCCGGCTCAGCTCCCTCTTCACCAAGACGGTCCGGTGCAGCGCCTGCTTTACTGCTGCAGCCGCACCGATCCACCTGTCGATATCCCGCTCCATCTTACCCTCACTCGTGAACAAGACCCCGAGATACTTGAACCCCTTTGCTTGAGGTAGGCACTCCGTCCCCACCTGGAGGGAGCAATCCACCGGTTTCCGGTAGAGAACCATGGCCTCAGATTTGGAGGTGCTAACTCTCATCCCCGCCGCTTCACACTCGGCTGCAAACCGCCCCAGTGAATGCTGGAGGTCACGATCCGAGGAGGCTAACAGGACCACATCATCTGCAAACAGCAGAGAGGCGATCCCGAGACCCCCGAACCTGACGTTCTCCACCCCCAGGCTGCGCCTAGATATCCTGTCCATGAAAGTCACGAACAGGACCGGAGACAGGGCAACACAAACACAAAATGTAGTAATACAGGAAAAGAAAGAAGTGATTTGTTATGAAATTCAACAAAGAAATAGTTCCTGAGCGTATTACAATTATACATGTAATTCAAACACTGCATGGATGTTCTCAAGTTGTTCCCTGCAGTGTACAGTTTGTCCGCGGAAGTAGACACCCTTCCCTGCCTCAGCATCCTGCTGAAGACTTTTCCGTACAACAGGACAGATTTTCACCCCCAGAAAAGACAGACTGGACTCAAAAATCTTGGCAGTAATATTAATGTGAAGTTAATAGAAATGCTAGTAGATGCAGAAGAAAAAGAACAAGTATAGAAAATAGTGTGAGGAAATGAAAATATTGTTCAGTTTTACATTTGAATATATCATATTTTATGACTATAGAGTTGGAGCAGTTGATTGAAATTTGAAATTTAAATGTATGCATAGATAATAAACCTCATTGCTGAGAGGATCCTTTAAATTGAGAAGTGAGGCTTGATTGTGTAGAAAAGCAAAAGGCTTTCGATTGGTACGCAAACAAAACTGCATGTTGTGCTCTAGAATTGATTCTTTCACGTTATAATATTTGTTGTACAGAATTATCCTGAGTTACAGAAAGAAAAGGTTTAAATTGGGTTTGTCATTTACATGACTGACTGGCGAATTGTTAAATTTCTTCAATATAAGACTAATATATAACTTTGTCTTTATTCCACTAAATGTAATTGAAAAGTCAGATAGACCAACGTGTCCGCCTGAATCTAACAGCACATCAAATCGAAACTGATGCGTATAGCCACTAGTTTTGCTGGGGTTAAAAGAGTGGAGCGGAGTGAAATGAAAACACACTATAATAGTTAGAAGTTTGGCATTGACTGGATAATGGTTAGTTCCCCTGTGGTGCTTATTGGCTCGATTGCTTTTTCACACAAGGAGTTGTTTCATGTCATAGTGCCAGACAATTCATTTCGTAACACCTCGTCAAGTTCCCTTTGTTAGGTTTTCCTTGTTTTCACATTCATGTAATTTTTGGGTTTCCTGTTTTACTTTTTTCACTTCCTGCCCTTTTGATTACCTTTCCCCTCCCTGATCAGCTTCACCTGTTCCCAATCACTCCTCCTCCCTAGAGTGTTTAGTCTGTGTGCCTCTCTTTGTCTGTTCCAGTTCGTCTAAGTACCTCCGTGTCTAACGTTGCAGCAATTTCCCTGAGAGCGTGGTTACCTGTATCCTTAGCTTTTCTCTAACTGCCTTTTTGCCTCGCCCATGATTTGGATTTGGTTGCCTGTACTGACTGCCTACCTGTGTACGGAACTTTCCTTGTATTGAGTTGTGCTTTTGAGTCTTTGCCCGAGTGGTGGCTTCGGCCTCAACACAATCAACTCAAACTCGGTGGAGTGGGCAGATTCAAAGGTTTGGACCCGGGTGAAGATGTGTAAGAAACAATACATGTGCATGGTGAAGAGTGTTACAGGCATCGAAACAGCGTCTGGACATTGATTTAAAAAATGTAACTGAGATTGGAAAATGTGTCATTTTTCAGATCACAGTACAAATTGGTGTGCGCAAAAGGGTGTGAATACATACGTCGAACTTGGCTGTTGCTGTGGAGGTGATGTGGGCAGTGCTGCCTCCCAGTTGCTCTCTGAAGCAGTCAGTGAAAGGCAACAGGAGGCCCATGGCCAAGATCCTGGAGCAGAGCCTCTCAGCCTCCTCGGGCTCCTCCTGCTGCTGTTGCAGGAACAGCTTCTCCAGAAGAGTTCGACCTGGACAGCCAATGATGAAAACAATGCTTATGTGACTAATGATATTGCTTTCTATAAAGCCATTTGCTGAAATCCCAGATGAGAGAAAACCAGATAGTCGGACGTGCACTGTAGTACAGTACATATTTACTGTCAGCCTTTGGAATGACGGCACTGTTAGAAGAATGTGGTGAAAGCACAGTTTTTATTTAGAACTTGAATGTGTCCGATTGTATAGAAGTCTCTGAAAAAATGACTCTACTTCTCTCTTGATTTATGACCTCAGTAAACATTGTAAACATGAGTTTATGGTCTCAATCTCTAGTTTCAAGTCTTCTTCAATACAGCATGATGTTCATTTAGTACATGCTGGTCCATTTAGAGTCAAACAGACCATAAAGAGGAATATGTTTTAGGACGTGGCTACCTTGTAATTGACAGGTTGCTACCACTACCAGAGCCATATACGGTGTCTCTCTATGGTCACTTCCATTTACTGGTTACAAAAAGTCAAGATGGCAACAGCCGTAAACCAAGATGGTGATGGCCAAAATGCCGGACTGGCGAGCTGCATGCATTGTCTATGGAATGCTGTGACGGCAGCTGCTAAGTCAGCGAGTGGCGGCCTTGATTCTATGGCAAAGTGCAGCCAAACTAAAAGTTGGGGATAGTTTAACTTTTGCCTACAAACTGCGACCAGAGAATACCCACAGCCAATCAGTAAACAGAGTCCTGGGATTCATGTGAGATGTTGAAATATGTGACAAAGTATTCCTTCCCACCCAAAACACATGAGCATGACTCTTTTTCGAACACCTGTAAACTTGGATGTGTAAAATCAGTGGAGCTCAAATCAGTTTACAACTGAAAGCTGACTGTACACGTAGTATGAATGTGGCAGCAGTATGGTACAGTGACAGTGAAAACTCACCAACATGTAAAATGGAGTTTTACAGTAATCGGACCATTGCAGTGTGTGTGTTCTCAGAATTCCAACCCAAGCTGGTTTCTTATGCGACTATAAATGTCTGCGGTTGATACTATCAATTGCCCCTCCCTCTGGCAACGTTAACCATTTTGTCAAGAAACTTTCCTACATAAGTAATGTCAGTTTCAGCCAAAAACAATCTTTGCTTAAACGCTGCAGGGGCTTGCACAGGTGCACTGATCACTCGTGTTGCTGGACATTAGTAGGAAAATGCACAAAACAAACAAAATATGTTTTCGTTATATATATCAACCCTTATATGAGGATCTGGTAGCATTTTTTTGTCACGGTAGTGTTGAAGAAAATCATCATATAATTTAGGATTGAACTGAACACATTTGGTTCATAAAAACATTCTTAGGAAGAGATTAAGGCACGCCAGACAAATTGTAATCTATCACTCCTATTTGTGTCCAAACATTTCCCATACACGAATCGTGTGTTCTGCCAAAAGGTTATCTCGACCCAAACGAGGATAGGAGAGCATAACATAGTGAAGAGACCAGAGGTGCTCTGTTTGTGGTTCAACCCACTGGTTTGATTGGTGGAAAGTGACTTAAGGGGGGTGAGTTTTGACTATAAAAGTAATCCGTGAAAAGTAATACATCGGATTTGTTTGGATTTGCTGAACTCGTATGTTGGCGTGTGCTTATTAAAACACTTCCTGCTGGGTTGCAACTTCAATTTGCCGTCTCTTCTCGTCATTTTGCCACAACATAATTGGCGCCCCAACGTGTGTTCGAGTCGAGGCCATCTTCCACTTCTTCAGCCAACCGACAATCATGCTAGAGGTCACGTATCAGGTACGGGATTTTCATATCTCACCATAGCTTTACTTCTGTATAGCATGGTTCTCGCTTGTGTGATAGGATGGGAGTGTCTGGGGTCCCCTCAACGGAACCCACGCTCTTTGGCGGAGGAGGAGAGAGGCAGATTGGTGTTAGCGGATAAAAAAATTAAAAGTTGAAATGTTGAAATGATTCAATTTTTATCTCCAGCTGTAAATGAATAGTCACACCTCCACGCCATTTTAGCACACGCTGTTAAGAGGTCATGGTCATTTCACATATTCACAATCAGGCTGTACAAAAAACAACCCGTATCACTGTGAATTTCAGGAACGGCACATGAGCAGGCATAGATCAATGGGAAAAAAGGTTGAGCTTGTCTCCAACTAAAAATACCTTTATGCATTTATTGATGGCAAACTACCAAAGCTCAACAACATCTATTTTTAGACGATTAATTAGACTCTGGGCAGAGAGGTTATGCCTGACATGTACATCTTTGTGATGGATACATCCTGCCAGAGCTACTAATGCTTTATATTACCAGTGTCATTCTCTGTTTGCTGACCTCTAGCTGGAGAAATCAGCACAAATGTTGCCTCCTGCTTCCTTCTTGCCCCCAGGAAACAATAACCAACTGAAAATGAAACTGCTCCATACTCACCTGTGAAGACGTCCTGAAAGCCGCAGGTAGAAACCTGTCCACAGGAAGATCTTCTGGTAGCACAGAGGGGTTGGCTGCCTCCTCCTCTGTAGCCCACCAGATATTCCCCCGAATCTCCTCCATCCTCCTCTCTGCTTCTCAGTCTCCTCTCGAGCTCCTCCGTCCAGTCGGCCGAGCGACTCAGAGGCCCGGCGATGCTTCGAGACCGCTCTCTGCGGACTTGATGGCCCTCGAGCATCGTCCTGTCAACATTAAGAATTCAGGTTAGCTTTACTTCGAAAACCTAAATAAAAGCCTAAATGTAACGTTTGTTTTGTTGGCAAAACCTAAAAGTAGGTAGTTAGTAGTTTTGAGCCCAACCATATTTTTTTCCAAAACATAACTAAGTACTTTTTGTTGAAAGTAACTTTTATTTTTAACGCAATGTCGTCCCAGAAAGAAAGTAGATCCAAGCGACATGAAAAATCCGGACAATTGCTGTCCCTGTAAACGAAACCAATAGATTGAATTGTGTGACTATTTCACGAACTGTCGTGAGACTGTGTTGGTTATTTCCAGGACTTCTTTGGCTGAGTTGAACATAATATCCTGTATGCAGTCATCAAAAGCGTATTCAAGATATCTTGTCAGGGTTCTGATTTTCATCTCAGCGTCTGATACCGACGCACAGAGGCACCATGTAGTGTCTGCATGAGACGCACCGGGCTGTCAGCTTACGTAAACCCATCGGCATCATTACGCCTGCCTTTAGGCCTGTTGGCTGGTTTTGAAATCAGTGCATTATGGTAATCAGGTGTTGTTGTATTGGTAATGTTAGTGCACTATGAAATAGAATCCTGCTGGCGCCACTGAACACTGAACACCATCCCTGACTGATCCGAAACTGACACTAGAGCATCATAGTCTGCATAGAGCCACTGACTGAGTGGCAGTATTCCAGGAGTTGGGAGTGCGAATGCGTTGCTAAACTACAGCTAAATCCGTTCTTCTTGCAGATGTTCAGTGTGAAATTGTATTGCCTGACAGTTACAGTAACTAAGAGGGGGCAGGGCTTAGAGAAGGATCAATTCCAGAATATTACCTTTTGGTTTTATAATCATAGCTTTGGACATTATTTCAATCAATTATGATAACATTATACTTACTAAGGTAATTGCTGGAATATGGGAACATGGCGACAATACTACACTGCAAGATAAACAAGCAGTCAGTCAGACAGGTTGTTAACGAGCCAATAGTTTAGCCTGATTATCGAAACCACTTTATTTGGAGGTAAAAGCCAAACGACCCCACTTGTTATTAATCCCTAATTACGCAGGGAAACTGCAGCAAGAACAGTAAATCAGAGTTTAACCAGGGAATTGCTACTGTATGTAATCTGCGATGACAGTCTAGGTTATGATGTTCTCATTTTACCATTTTGTCTCTCAAGTTTGACCAAACCGGTGGTTTGTTCACAAGCTGTCTGATCATCTCTCTTCAGGTTTTTAAAATTTTTTTTTAGCAACACCACATAACCAAGCCTCAGGAATTACCTTGGTGGGTATGTACCAATAGGGACGGTGGCCAAAACTACTAAAATAAGACCCAAATTGTAGTAAATTGAAATTATCCTTCTGAAAGAGAATCCACTTCATCTGCAACTTTGACTAACATCACTTGATAGTTAAAAACCAAATCCAAGTTAATGTTGAATGGCATACTGTATCATACATGCTGTCAAATCATCATGTCCAAGGTCAAACTAAATCAAAGATAATAATAATATAGTTATTATAATTAACATGTTGCAACACCACAGGTACCTGTGGAGGTGATGGTGGGCTCTGCGCGGGGATAGGGGGCTGTGGGAGGGGGACAGGCCTGGGGAGTGTCCTGGGGAGCTGAGCTGTCTCGTGGTGGTCTTGATGTAGGAAGGGAAGATGGGAGGGTAAGGTTTCACCACAGGGATAGAGGAGGTGGAGGAGTGGGTGGACCTGAGGAGTCGTTTGGCCAGTGTGGGGCTCTCCTGGGGAGGCAGCGGGGTGAAGCACACGCTGCTCCTCCTGCCATGCTTGTAGGGGGAGGCCCTGGTGCCGGCAGCAGCAGCAGAGCCGTTGGATTCGGATCCAGCGCTTAGACAGTCCTCAAGGGACTCGGCACTGGTACCCGATCCCAACTGACCCTCACCTTCTTCGAACACGTTCCCTGAGCTCAGCCCTTCGGTGGGTTCAGGACTTTTGTGGTGGCTGTCTCCGGGTGGAGGACTGAGGTCTACATCCACCACGGACTCCCTCTCCTCTCCTTCACTTCCTGCATCCTCTGTGCCCCCTGTGGTTTTCCCAGCAATGTCAAATGTGTGATCAGGGAAGCTGTTACCACCGGTCGTCATGGTGACTGGGCTGACTGCTGCCCCCCCGGCAGTAGCCATGGTGATGGCTGTGTGAGGGGGCTGCTGCACCCAAGCATGCTGGTCCTTTGTGCCTGTGGCAACACAAAGAGATGCTTCTCTCTCTTTCTGCCCCTTCCCATTTAGCTCCGGATGCTCCACCCCATCCTTCTCCTCCCTCCTCTCGTGCACCTCCGTGTGGAAGAGGAGGTGTGGTGTCGGTTGCTGGTCCGTGTGCCTGACAGAGCCAGACAGAGGTCCCGTCTCTAGGAATGACAGGGCATCAGACCCAAGTTCTAATTCTGGAGTCAGGTCAAGCACCTCAGGAGGAGTTAATTTAACTACCCCATTACTCTGCTTCCTCCTCCCCTCTCCTCCCCAGCTCGGATCCTTTTCACCCCCTCCCTGCTCTTCCACAATTACGTTAACCCCCCCATGCTGATGTTGGTGCTGGAGCCGTATAGCGAGCTGGATGTCAGCTAGCAAATCCTCGTGGTCAGCTGCTGAGTGGAAGCTGTAGATATCCGTGTCCGACCCGGAGCTCCCCGCCTTCTGCCCTCCATCCTCTGTGGGAGATGTAGCTGCTGTCGAGGCTTTCCGCTGCATCTCCTGCTTCCGCTCTCGTACCTCTTCATCCTTTTTCCCCGGCTCTGGTTTCTTTTTCCTCTCAGCCTCAGTGTCTGACTGTCCGAGCTCATCTGCAGACATTTCAGGTGTTTTTGTGCTGTCCAGTTCGTCATGTTGAGAGGCTAAAACATCCTCCTTTGAGCCTGTGACTGACGAACACGCGTCTCCTTTCGCTTTCAGGTTGCCCTTTCTCTTCCGGATGGAGAAAACGGAGGACTTGGACTCAGATTTGTTTTTCTTCTTTCCTGGTCCTGTGCCATGCATCCCCCCTCCACCTCCTACATGCTTACAGTGGAGTTTCTTTCCTCCCTTCTTTGTAGTGTCCCCTCCTCCCTCTCTCCATCCTTCATCCAGTGAAGGATAGCTTCCATTACCCGATGCTGCTGCAGCTTTCTTCTGCTTAGCCTCCTGGTTGCCCATGTTGATAGAGAGCGTCCGACAGCTTCCTGCCTCTCCTCTCAGGTCATGTCTGGGAGAGCTCCTCCTTCTTGGGGGAGGATTTAGATGCCTGTGCCTGACGAAACTAGAACCGTCTCGGCCTAATCTGCGGATGCACGTCTGGTGGAGGTGGAGGAGGAGGAGCTGCTGGTGCTGATGGCGTTTTTTGTTTTTTTTAAAGCTCTGTTGTGCGATGATCTTCCTCGTTGTTTTCTGGTGACGAAGGCTGGCGTGGCAGTGATGTTGACGCGGATGCAGGAGAGACGTACAGCTCCCCTTCCCTCCTCCCCTCTCTCTCTTAACCCCCCCTCCTCTCCATCTGCTGAAAGGAGTGACGCAGGCACTGCATGCTCAGTGGATCTCTGACAGGGAGGCAGACTGAGAGAGATGAAGAGCAACTGGGATGGGGACACAAAGCTAGGCCTGCTGGGAAAAAAAGTATAAAAAGACCTGAGAGGAATAAAAATGCTGACCACAGTGACCGTGCTGGGGCAGGGATTCTTATGGTCTGTCACTGCAGTTAATCACATGGTTGCTTACTACATTTCCCATGATTCCCTGACTCCTGCCTACATCACCCATAGTGCTACTGCTAAGTGTGGGCTAGACTCCAGTAGAGGGACCTCTTATGCAGCTCCATGTCAATGCAGGATACTGGTTCTCGTTTCAAATATGGCCTTCATTTTCATTTTAACAATTAACATACAAATACTAATTCTTATTATTAGCAAAAATAAAGTTGAGCCATATGTTTATTTCAACGGTAAATCTCTACTTTTCACTTGATTTATTACCTCAGTAATTGTAAACATTATAGACATGAATTTATGGTCTCAATCGCTAATTAAGTCTTCTTTAATACAGCATACTGTTCATTTAGTAAATTATGATAACAAGAGTAATGTAGACCATAAAGCAGGGTATGCTTCAGGGTGGGGCTACCTTGTGATAGACAGGTTGCGACCACGGAAATACTGAGCGTTTGTAATACTATAAAAGTCACTCTAAGGGGTCGGTTTTTGCTTGCATAAATTAACATTCTAATTAATATCACAGTTAAGGTGAAGGGCCTTGCTAATTAATCTAGCTAGTGCTATTGTTAGCTGCTAATGGTACTTGGCTGCACCATTCCTTGCTCCTCTCCAGCTCTACCATCTTGTCCAAATATGGTGACTTCTGATACCAAAAAAAGAAGATGGCGAAGGCCAAAATGCCAAACTGCAAGCCTCTTAACGGTAGTCAACAAACCAGTGTGACATAACAGTGACAACTTCCACTTCTTATATACAGTCTATGATTTAATTACAAAAAGAGTATTTCAACAATGGTTTTAGGTATATAAAGTTCATAGATTATTTTACGAGACCATCGTTTCTTAGATCAATTTATTTGAAAAATTAAATCTCACCACAAGGGTGCCAGTAGGTGTTCTAGAGCTTTCAATCACATTACATGATCTTCCTCAATTTATGGAGTTGTCATGGAAATGTAATATTCATATTTCCTTTTTTTCTCCTTCCTTTTTCTTATTACTTTATCAATGTCTTATCCATGTCAGCTCTGTTGGATGTCATAGTGCATACAGTGCTATATTCCAAGGTACGCTCCTACCATGGGGTATCGTCGGTTTACCTTTTCTGGTGCTTTTTAATTACCTCCTACCAGAAAGATAATTTTGGCTGAGACACAAGAGAACAGAGTTGTGAGAGTTGTTTGTCTTTATTGCTTAATTTGCTTTTGTGCTGGTAATATATAGCACAAAATCACTGTCCAGGTCACAAAGAAAAAAACATCTGTTCTGTAGCAATGAATATGCTCTTAATCGTTTGTTTGGGAAGGATTCACTTTTGCTTATGTTCCTGTAGAGGTTGAATAAACGTATTCTATTATGTATGAACAAAAGCCTTTGAATATAATGCAACAGATTGACTAGGGCAGGGGTCGGCAACCTTTTCTATCCAAAGAGTCATTTTGCCCTATTTTCCACCAAATCAAATTTGTCTGCACTGTAAAATGTAATAAGTTGACCTTACTTAAAAAAAGTTTTAAAAAAAATCAGGAAGCCTTAAAATTTCTAAGTAAAGTAGCTCATTAATTTTAACTTGTTAAAGCTTAAATTAACTGAGTTAAGGCAACTCATGTCATTGCAGTAAACTGTAGTATAGTTAACTTAAAATCATGAATTACATTAACTATAAATTGTCAATTCAGACAACTTAAAAATCTGAGTTATATCAAGTCAGCAGTACTAATAATAACAAGTTATCTTTACAAGTCCAAGCATTCACATTACTAGGAAATTATCAGGAAACTGATTACCTTAAAATTCTCAAGTAAGCTGAACTACAAACTGTAAGTTGCTGAAACAAAAGATGGACAACAGTTGTAATGAAAGACAGTTTATTTTTACAAAAAACAAATCTTTTTGAGACAGTTTGTTGACTTCAAACTAAGTGCTAACAAAATGCTGGACATGTTGCCAGATTAAGTTATGAAATAGAACAACAGATCTGATATCGCCCTTACAATTTAAACAAATATGCATTTTTTGGGAACGCAGACCATAGTTCACTATGATTAACAGTTTTGTTAGTCTTGTTTAACAGTTTAAAGCAGCAGTTCATTTTTACAAAAACACCTTTTTAATAAAAGTTGTTTAAACTGTCACTATATCCTGACATTAAGGGAAGAGACAGACTGAAAAAACTGATTCCTCTGCTTCTTTTTAGTGCTCCTGCCAGTTGCAAGATTCCACCACACCCGCAGAAAACAACTAAGTCGATGAGCCTCCAACACAGCTGTCAATCACTACTTGTGAATTCTAATTTAACTGTAAAACTATAGGCAGTTTACCAAATATGAATCAATATTCTGTTACTTTCTTTATTTCTCGCCTAAAATGTTTTCAGAAACATGTCAGTGTACTGTTTAGCTGTAAAATTATGTTTGTTACCCGGCTGCCATTTAGTAGGTAGGTTGACAGTTCCTCCTCCGTGAATCGCCACCTTATCGTGGTGGAGGAGTTTGAGTGGCTCAGTGATCCTGGGAGCTATGTTGTCCGGGGCATTAGCCCCTGGTAGGGTCTCCCAAGGCAAACAGGTTTCAGGGGAGAGCCCAGACTAAGAGCGGTTCAAAACAACCCCTATGATAGTTAGCCCACGGACTACAGCCACCTCGCCCGGACCAGGGAAACCGGGGCACCCTCCCGGAGCCAGACCCAGGAGGGGAGCTCGTAGGCGAGCGTCTGGTGGCCGGGCCTTTGCCCATGGGGCCCGGTCGGGCTCAGCCCGAATAAACACCATGGAGCAGCCACCCTGTGGACCCACCACCCGCAGGGACAAGCATCGGGGTCGGGTGCTATGCAGACCGGGCGGCGGGTCGGGCGGGAGGCCCGGGCATGCCGATCGCCGGCGGCATAGACTAGCTCTAGGGACGTGGAACGTCACCTCGCTAGCGGGGAAAGAGCCGGAGCTGGTGCAGGAGGTGGAGCGATACCAGCTAGAAATAGTTGGACTCACCTCCACACACAGCGTTGGCTCTGGAACCAAGCTCCTGGAGAGGGGTTGGACTTTGTCCTTTTCCGGAGTTGCCCAGGGTGAGAGGCGCCGGGCGGGAGTGGGGATACTCATGAGCCCCCGGCTGAGCGCCGCTGTGTTCTCCCCGGAGAGCGAGAGGGTCGCCTCCATGCGCCTACGGGTTGCGGGGAGCAAGGCTCTGACTGTGGTTTGTGCTTATGCACCAAACAGCAGTTCAGAGTATCCGGCCTTCTTGGAGTCGGTGGGAGGGGTCCTGGAAAGGGCGCCGCCTACCGACTCCATAGTTCTCCTGGGGGACTTCAACGCTCACGTGGGCGATGACGGAGAAACCTGGCGGGGGGTGATTGGGAGGAACGGCTTGCCCGATCTGAACCCGAATGGTGTTTCGTTATTGGACTTCTGTGCTTGCCATGGTTTGGCCATAACGAACACTATGTTCGAACATAAGGTGGCTCATAAGTGTACCTGGTACCAGAACACCTTAGGCCGGAGATCAATGATCGACTTTGTAATCGTATCATTTGATCTGCGCCGTATGTCTTGGACACTCGGGTGAAGAGAGGAGCAGAGCTGTCAACTGATCACCACCTGGTGGTGAGTTGGATCAGATGGCAGGGGAACCGGTTGGAAAGACCCGGCAAACCCAAACATGTAGTGAGGGTGAACTGGGAACGTCTGGCGGAGGACCCTGTCCGGGAGGTCTTTAACTCCCACCTCCGGAAGAACTTCTCACACATCCCGAGGGAGGTTGGGGACACGGAATCCGAGTGGACCATGTTCAAAGCCTCTATTGTGGACGCGGCCGCTAGGAGCTGTGGCCGGAAGGTCATCGGTGCCTGTCGTGGCGGCAACCCGGTGGTGGACACCGGAGGTGAGGGAAGCCGTCAAGCTGAAGAAGGAGACCTTCAAGGCCTGGTTGGCCCAGGGGTCTCCTGAAGCAGCTGACAGGTACCGGCAGGCCAGAAGGGCTGCAGCTGCGGTGGTCGCGAATGCTAAAACTCGGGCATGGGAGGAGTTCGGGGAGGCCATGGAGAAGGACTTTCGGTTGGCCTCAAGGAGGAAGGGAAAGCAGGGCTTACCCCAGGCTGTTCTCAGCAGGGGGGGGGGAACTGCTAACCCATCGTCGGGTGGTGGAAAGAGCACTTTGAGGAACTCCTAAACCCGACCAACATGTCCTCTGCAGAGGAGGCAGCGCCTGAGGACCTAGGGGGAGGCTCACTCATATCCCTGGCAGAGGTCGCTGAGGTAGTCAAAAAGCTCCTTGGTGGCAAGGCGCCGGGGGTGGATGAGATCCGCCCTGAGATGCTGAAGGCGTTGGACATGGTTGGGCTGTCCTGGCTGAGACGCCTCTTCAATGTCGCATGGGGGTCGGGATCAGTGCCCATGGAATGGCAGACCGGGGTGGTGGTTCCCATCTTCAAAAAGGGGGACCGGAGAGTGTGCTCGAATTACCGGGGTATCACACTACTCAGCCTCCCGGGGAAGGCTTATGCCAGGGTGCTGGAAAGGAGGCTCCGACCACTTGTCGAACCTCAGATTCAAGAGGAGCAGTGCGGATTCCGTCCCGGCCGTGGAACAGTGGACCAGCTCTTTACCCTCGCAAGACTACTGGAGGGGTTCTGGGAGTTTGCCCAACCAGTCTACATGTGCTTTGTGGACTTGGAGAAGGCTTTCGACCGGGTCCCTTGGGGGGTCTTGTGGGGGGTGCTGCGGGAGTATGGGGTGCCGGACCCGCTACAACGGGCGATCCGGTCTCTGTACGACTGCAGTAGGAGCTGTGTCCGCATTCTCGGCAATAAGTCAGACACGTTCCCGGTGGGTGTTGGCCTCCGCCAGGGCTGCCCTTTGTCACCGGTCCTGTTCGTGATTTTACAAGGACAGGATATCTAGGCGCAGCCTGGGGGCGGAGAACGTC